CTCAGCAACGTTTTACGGCCGTTGTGCGCCCCGCCGGGCCGCGCCGCGGTTAAGACCCACGTTAAACCCGGAGCGATCGGGCTGCTCGGTGACTGCCGCCGCTAATCCCCGCAGATAAGCGCGGGCTGGGCCGCCGCTTCCCGGGAGGAATACTCCCTTTGGAGTAACCAAATGGCGGCAAGCAGCGCTTGGCTGCTGCCCGGGTGCTGCTCGGGCTCCCCTGGGTGCCGGGGGCAGCTTCTCGAGACCCCTCGGAAGGAGGATCCCGCCTCGGCYGTGTGTTTCCTCCCTTTGCCACTATTGCTACTGTTTTATTTCTCATTTTCCTCTAAGGGACTTTGAGGCTCTCTCCCCTCCACCTAGTCGCAGATTGAAACTTGTTCGTTTTTACCCTTGATCGCGGTGTGGCCTTTGCCTGTGTCCTGTTTTCCACAGCAGCTTTTGGGATTGAGTCGGGATAAACTGGCCTTGGGCTGCCCGTCTTTGGAGCTGCCCCATTGCCAAGAGGACTGCACCAAATACCAGGAGACAGATGAGCTTCATTCTCCGCTCCTCAGTATAGGAGGCCGGCTGATCTCTCCCTCGAAACAGTGAAAAGCTCCCTGGGTTGCTGTAGTTTTTATTGGGAGTTGCAGAAAATCAAATTACAGGGAGCGCTGTGACTAATGTGCTGGCCTGGGGCTCGTCTGCTGTTAATGCAGAGCAAATGTTTGTTTGCACATTTTCCTAGGGAGTATTAGCAGCCCTGGGGTTTCATCAGATATCTTTCTGGTGGCATCAACATCGTGTGGGCAGGTTAAAGCCTCTCATCATTTTATTAAATAATGATCAACATTATTCATGAGGAGTAATGCARAAACAGTTGTTTCGGTACAATACTGCATTTCTCCCTTATAAATAAGTAGCTCGTATTCTGTTTAAATGCCTAGGAATTGGGAAAATTAGCCCACGATTCAACAAATCTGCCTTTCAGGCTTTTATAAAAATGAAGGTTTTTCCCTTATGGGGAAATCCCTTTCCCAAGCCCCTATGGGTTTGTCTGGGTACTTCCCTGCAACTTGGCCYGAGTATTTTGTCCTGTTAATGCAGAATTAATCACCTGCGGTGTAAATAGTTGATGTGCAGAGAGCCCCGGGGACYGGTAATATCAGCATTCCCTCCACAAAGGAAAAGGGGGAAACACTTGCCAAGAACAGAAGAAATTAATTAGGCTTTTTAGACATTGAAGCCTCCTATTTCGCCTGGTCCTCTTGATAAGCTTGTGAGCAGCTGCAGCTGTTAAAAACAATTTCAAGCCTGAATTTGGGGTGTTGAATGCAGGGTCCTTTCCTGTTTTGAGCTAAACACTGCCTGTGCTTCTGTGCAGGTTTGTTTTGAAAGCACATCAAAAGTACCCTGCTTTCTGCTGCTCCAGGACTCTAGTTTCTGATCTCCTTTGTGGTATTTCCTAGGGAGTTGAACTGGCTTCCGCGCTTGGTTTTGCCTTTGATTAAAAATCTTAAACGGAATAGCCTAGGAAGGTTCCTTTTCTTCTTTTTCTCTGCTTTTCTTAATTGATCATCGGGATGTAGCAGGTCTCTGGCTTGTCATTATCGAGGACAATGTATTGAACCAAATCTTAAATTCATCCCATGGATAACAGGACATACTGGAATATGAAGGGAAAACAGGAACAGGGGCACGTTAAGCTCTGGTGTTGAAGTAATAAAGGAGGATGTATTTTGATAATCTTTTCTTTTTTTACTGTTTTTTGTCATACGAGAGTGCTAGGGAAAATGCTGATCAGGTGTGAGACAAGGTATTTTTACTTACTGCTGTGTTACCTCRTTGCAATTTTTTAGCAGTCTTCAATCCTAAACTTGCAATTCCCCTCGATTGCAACGGGTAACATTGCAGAACAAACCTGACCTYGTAGATGCCCAGCAAAAGTTGGGCGGCTGGAGGTTATCGCGTCCTAAACCGCTCTCCTAAAGAGATGGGCAACAATCAAGTCATTCTTGTGGTGTTGGGTGGAGGAAAGCCCTATTACCAGCTCTACCTTCGCTGCTCGAGCTCAGGACGTAGATGCYGTGTGCCATGGACGTGCAGAAGCGTCGAGTGCCCTCCGTGTGCGAATCAGCCCGTACGAACGAGGTGGCATGAGAGGCACATCCAGCCCTCTGCTGCCTTCTGGGCTTCTCTCTATCTGAATTTCTCCGTCACGGGCCTTTTGCTAATGAACCAGCTCCAAAACCTGTGCAGCCTCTGTGCAGAACGGGGCCCGGCAGCCTCCGCGCGCCCGCGGGGTTTCTGAGCAGCGCARTGGCTGGGCAAGTCGGGTCACGCAGTCACAGAGGAGATCTTGCAGCTGAGCTTGGGGAGTCCAAAAGCTGCAGTGGAGTTTTCCCAATCATGTATTTCCTTGGAATTGCTCTCTGAGTGTCGCGTGCTGTCTCCCTAACAGTATGGACACAGGGCAGGTTGTTTTTCAAGGGAAGCTTGCTGAAATGCAGGTGAGTTTTGAACAAATTTGGAAAGCAGACTTGCCTTTTGTTCCCTGAATGCTGCCTCAAATTCTCCCTTCCTATTGGCAAGCTGCCTCTCTCCTATTTTTTCCTGCCACTTTTCATCAGCCTTACTGCTTGGCTCATGCTGATTTGCTGAGGTTTAATTTGGGGAAGTTGCTCTAATCCGTGTACAATAAAAAGGAGCATATGATGTTTTTGCCATGCTGGTTGGCTCATTAGCAGGACTGTTTTTTGGTTTTTGCTTACGCTGTCAGGGCYGTGTTAAGCCCACCTGGAGCCTGAAATTCGGGTGCAGCTTGGCAGGTTCTGTGCAGGGTGCCAAATGCATCTGCCTGTTTTTAATTACTGCATTTCTTAATTGTAGATTTCTAATCGAAGACGCAGCCATGAAAGACCCAAGTCGCAGCAGTACTAGCCCCAGCATCATCAATGAAGATGTGATTATAAACGGTCATTCTCACGAAGATGACAATCCCTTTGCTGAGTACATGTGGATGGAAAACGAAGAGGAATTTAACAGGCAGGCAAGTTATTTCTCCATGTAGATGTGCTGTGGTTGTGTCTTTTTCCCTAGATTAAGGGAGAGCTGCTGTGGCCTAAAAAACATTGTATAGGACTGGGAACCTGTTAGAGACGGGATTTTTAGATATCCCCCAGAATCTTTATAGTAAGGCTCTTTATAGGTTTTCTACCTATAAATTATTTCTATAAATTKGTTGGAAGTTTTAGGAGGTCTCCCACATCCATTAATGCCACACTTGTGCAGGAGGGCAAAATAAAAACTGCATAGTGGGCTGCTCTAACACGTGACGTGTTGGAAAGCTCAAATCTTGCTTGGGCACTGAGCTATGTTAGGCCTTTCAGCTTGTGCAAGGGTACCAGGTGTGGTGGTTTTAAATGGGATAAGGCCCATTTGCACCTGAACTTATCAACAGGGCTGTTAGGAAGGGAGTTGGTGGACATAGCTGTTGAATGACAGTTCCCTTTGGGTTGCTTAATAGTTTTAAAGCTCTTTGGCAGGGGAAATTTTTCTTTTGGTTTCATCCTGTGTCTGGCTGCAGTTTTTCCTTTGGTGGAATTTGGAGAGATCCCCCTTTCCATTCCCCTTTTCCTAGTGATCACTGCTTGATCCCGTTGCTCTGCTGCTTTCTCATTCCCGCAAAAACATCGCAGTGCTGAAGGCTCRGAAATGTGAGCTTAAGAAGTGCAGTTCTCCTCGCTCTTCACAGGTGTTTATTGGGTGCAAGAAGGTGCAAAGCTTTAAGTTCTTCACATTCAGTTTACTTGCATGATGTTTGTTCTTCTGTGGATGTGTCAGGATGGTCTGTCCGTGTTTTGTTTTCCTGTTTGGTGGGTTTCTTCCTCCTCAGGGACTCTCCTCTGCCTGGCTGTGCAGTGCTCAGGGAGTGAGCTGYGAGTTGAGCAGTGAATTAAGTATTTATCAGGTACAGCCTCCATTTCCAGAGAGCAGGGAGGGGAGCCTGGGAGGAGAAGGCCTTTATCCAGGCAGGCAAACGCCACGTGAGATCCTGCCCTCTTTTCCTGCGCGTATCACTGAAGCTGAACAAGTCAGAACTTCAGCTGGAGAATGTGCGCTGTGGCAATAGGAATTCGAGGCCGTTTGGGTAATTAGTTGTTATTTAGGAGCTGCCATTGGAGACGCCCGCGGGCGCGYGGCTGTGTACGGGAACACCTGGGCTTGGACGAGCGCAGCTGTACGGGCAGCTCGGGCCTGTGCTCCCTGTTCCCCTTCCCCACGTGCAGGAAATAGACGGCGCTGGATGCGGTGCCTGGAAACTGGAGCACTTTCTGCCCCCGCTGGGCTGCTTTGCACTGGTTTTCCTGAAAAAAATGAGGCCCTGTTTCATGCAGGGTCTGAATTGTCCACACAGTCACTAAAGCCTAAGGTAGCGAGTCCCTGTTCCCCCAGAGCTGGGCGCCCTGTGTCTGAAGTACCGAGGGAGTTGGTGACTGCACTGGCCTCGAGGATAGGGGGCCGGAATTGCATGGGAATCCTCAACTCCAGTCCTTTCTTTTTGACATAATTTCAAGTGTGTAGCTCTATTCCCATTCCAGAGCGTGTTTGACTTTTGAAGAGTCAACATGGTTTTTTTCCCCATAACTAAACGCACTTCATCTGTCTCTTTTTTTTTTTTTTTTCCCCCTCCTCCCCCTATGCCTGGCAAGTTATTCAAGTTTCTGTGCGACGCAGGGCATGGAAAACCTGCCAGGATCAGCTCCTTTCCGAACACGTTTGCTGCACAACCTGCCTTTCATCCGCGCTCTGCGGTGCCCGTCGGGGCTGCGTCAGCTGCTCTGGCCTGTGGGTCGGTGTTGTTAATGGCTCCTGTGCTCACACAGACTTTCTGAGGAGAAACCTGCTGTGTGAAAGCGTCATCCGCAGCCCAGGAGAGATGTTTGTCTGTTGATCACATCCCTGGATCCCTTCCTCATGCTTCACCTAGGTTTGGTTTGGGGCCAGACAAGGTGACACAAATGATAGTTGGACTTGGAACCAACGTTAGAACAAGTTCTCCACAGTAAGTATGTGGACTAGGCAGCTAGGACTGAGTTCTCCTGCCATCCTCATCTTACCAGAGTTCTTGGGACAATGTTTTCCCCGTGGAAGGATCAAAGCTGCTCATCTTCCTCTGGCTGAATCAGTTGTCACACCAGGAGTCCTAGTGCAGGAAAGGCAGTTGCTTGGGTAGACAACGCCTGAAAGAAGAGCACGGCCTCTCCACAGCTTTGATAAAATTGTTTCTTCTCTTTGTGCAGATTGAGGAGGAATTGTGGGAAGAGGAATTCATTGAGCGCTGTTTCCAAGAGATGCTGGAAGAAGAGGAGGAGCACGAATGGTTTATTCCAGCCCGTGATCTCCCACAAACAATGGATCAAATCCAGGACCAGTTCAAYGACCTTGTTATCAGTGACAGCTCGTCGCTGGAGGATCTGGTGGTAAATTGAGTTTCTCACCTTCTTTCTAAAGCTCACCAGCTCTCCCTGTGCGAGGCTGCTTCCTGCCTCTGGTGGGGGCACCAGAAAACCCTCTATAGGCAGGAGAGCCCCTCTCACCCCACACAGCTGTGGTGGAGGGGCAGATTCGGGGCGTTTGGCCATGTGCATTTCCTCAGCTGACACGACCAGGGCCCTGGTTTTGCTCTAGCTGCTCGGGACCTTTCCTAGGTGTAAATTTGAGTTTGGGCCTGTTTGCAGGGCTGCCYTCACAGAGGGCAGCTCAGTGCCAGCCCCGCAAAGCTTTAAGGCCACAACTTTCAATGCTTACACTTGCTGGGTGGGTACAAATCGCCTTCTGAGATTTGAGCTGGATAATGGGAACAATGGCAAATCTTCTTGTGGGAATTCTAGGAAGAGGGAGCCAGCTATGCTGCCGTTGTGTCCCTGGTTCTGGTTGACAGCTGCTCAGCCCTAAGCCTAGCTCAAAGGAGAGGGCAGTCTTGGCGCTTCTGCTTCGCAGACCMAGCAATGGAGCTATTGGGGATACAAAATCCAAACACTCACATAACTGCTGTGAAAGATCAGGCGCAGGACTCCRCTTTCCCAGGCTTAAGGAGGTGAARGCAGCAAGCAGTTTCTAACCTCGTTAAGAACATAAAAGCCTAATCCTCCTTTTCTTTCTTAACAATAAATAGCTCATTTTGGAGATGGCTGCCTGCCCACCTGTAACTGCTACCAAAATAACTGCAGAAGGTTGGAGAGCAGCTGCCTGCCAACTGGGTGCAAAGGGTACTCGCAGCAGGGCAGAACTCGACACACGAGGGTTGTATTTTTTGTAATGGCCAGAAGTGGCCTAACTTCTCTGAGCCATTCTCTCCTTGCTCAAATAAGCAAGATCAACCCCAGCCCCTGCTTGGGACACGCTTAGCAGGCAGTGCAGCTTCAGGAAGGGCTTCCAGCAAAAATCCAGAACTGCTGGATTTTTGTGTATGTTGTTGCTTCTTAGTCACTGAATCCTCGTTGGATCGGAACCTCCAGGTGGTGCCAATGAAGGCTGGATAGTTAGGCCGGATATTAGCATCGAGTGGGGTTTGTAATGAGAGGCAGTGCATGAAACCCTTGCTATTCTGAACCTGCTAGCAAAGAAGCCTGTTAAACTGGTGGTATCCACCCAGAAATGCAGTCAGCTTGAAAGTGGAGGATGGAAATGATGCTTCAACTGGACTTGTGTTTTTCCCTTCCTTAGGTCAAGAGTAATCTGAATCCAAACGCAAAGGAGTTTGTTCCTGGGGTGAAGTACTAAATATTTGAGTAGACTGGGCCCTCTTTTGGTGGATGTAGCACAATTTCCACACTGTGAAGCCAGTATTAGAAGATTTAATTGTAAAAGCTCTCTTCTTGTCACTGTGTTACACTTATGCATTGCCAAAGTTTTGTTAGTCTTGCATGCTCAATAAAAGTGCTGAGACTGTTAAGTAAATCTGTCAAAAGTTTAATGGAAACATAATTGGACCCTGGCTCTTTGCAAAGGAGACAGTGAGGTAAGAAGCACCAGTCAAGTTGAGACAAAAGTACCACATAAAAAAACTTCTGCAGACTCTGTCTTTTTAATAGGACTTGGAATTTGCTAAGGATGGTCTGTTCTTTTTTTTATATATTTTCTTTTTTTAGGTAAAGATGTGTTAACTGGTGCTAGTTTGCACCTGATAATGCCTTAACTTTAAAATGAAAGCAAGGTTATCTGATTGTTATGCAAATTAGCTAACTTTCCTTTGAACTATCAGTATTGTTACTAATGTTAATTTTTCCCCTTTGGAAAAAAAAAAAAGAAAAGAAAAAAACCCCTCCTGCCGCTTAAAAGCGGCCTGGGTTTAACAGAAGTTTTACAGACCTGTACAGAGTCCTAGATCTCAGCTGCCGAACTAACATCCAAGCGATCGGAAGGAAGAAATTTCCTCTCTTTGCAGTATGTTATCATGTTAGAAATGTTTCACTTCCTAATTGTATTAAAGGAGATGTGAGTTTCCTCACAATTTCTTCCAAGAACCCAGATACATAGCGCTGCCTATGTAACTTTTAGCAAACATCTTTAATATAGCTGGATTTAACCAAGGAACCCCTAGCATTAGTGATTTGAGTGGTGCTTTTCCCTTGCTTTGTTTAATCATCACTACACAGTAGTCTACAGCACAACAACTTGTTTTTTTTTTCTTTTAATAAAGCTAGAACAGTTTTGGCTTCTTAAACTTCATATTTGGGTAGGTTAAGCTGCCATACGTGTTCAGTGTGAATAGTGTTTAAGTTGAAAATATTGTAAAAAAATTATATTTTTTCAAAAATATTTAAAAAAATAAATAATAGTAGAACTGACTCGTGGCTGTCTGGTGAATGACGCCCAGCGCGGGCAGCGCGTGGGGGAGCCTCAGCCCGTGCTGCGGCTGCTGCCTTTTCCTCCTGGAAGGCCTTAGACCCTGCCTAAACCCCACAGGACTCCAGGGAGMTGTGGACAAGCTGCATGTGAGATGCAGGAAAATGAGAGATCCATGTTCGGTGCTTGGAGAGAGACCGGGAAGGACCCAGTGTACATAGTCACAGCGGGGTCTCTCCAGGGTTACCTGGCAGTTGTTGCCGCCTCAGCCCTTACACTGACCTGCTGGAAGGTTTGAACCCAGGCGGGATGGGCTGGGGGGGACTGGCAACCTGCGGCGCTGCCGAGCGGCCGCGTTTCTGCACTTCGGTCCTGTGCAGCGTGTGACGCGGAGGGGTTTGCAGAGGGGAACGTGCTGAGCGCCGCGTCTGCAGAGCTGCCTGGTGTAGGGCACAGATTTTAAACGGGAGCGGTTATTCTGCCAAGTGCTCTGAGCAGTCGCTTGCTGGGGCTGATCCCCYGCTGCAGTCAGAGCCGAGGCTGCCAGCCGCGTCCTGGCAGCAGAACCGGGCAGTGGGAGCCTCCGCATTGGCGCCTGGTTCTGCTCGCGGGGCAGCGAGCTGAGCGAGGGCCGGGCAGACTGGAGCTGCTCCTGGCAGCCCGCTGGGGAGCCCCGCAGCGCAGCAGCAAAAACCTTCCGAAACGCAGAGGGGCTGAGGAGCCAAGCTGGGAGAAACCACCCAGAACAGACGTGGCAAAAAGGCTATTTATTTATTTATTTGTTTGAAATGCATAAGCTTAAAGTAGACATCCCACTGCTGGATCTGAGCACGGGGCTCTGCGCAGGGCCAGCTCAAACCCACAGAGGAACCTTGCGGAAGTCGAGAGTGTTGCGTGGACATCGTGGCCCTGGGTGGCTGTTGGTTGTTCTGGCTGGTGCTTGCGCCCTTGCGCGTTCTGGCCCGCTCTGACTAGAGCTACAGGTTTCATCAAAGCTTTGAACGACTCCAGGACCGGTTGAAGGTGGAGTTATTTAAATTACAGTGGGCCTTATTCAGAAGCTGGTACCTGGGGAGTGCTGCTGCTCGTGGGTGTTGCAGGGCGGGGTTTGTGCCCCCGTTCTTAGGTTAAAAACAGGCTAATGATGCTCCCGAAAGTGCCTAGGCTTGGAGAGGAGCAGGAGCAGCCTTGGCTTTGGGCTTGGTGGCTCCTGGAAGCCCTGCAGCGAAGCTGCGCGGAGGCGGCAGGGGGCAGCTCGACGCCGGCCCCTCTCTGCCGAGCGACTTCCCTACCCCGGCCTTGCTCAGGCAGCGCGGGCAGAGCGGAGGAGCGAGGCCACCGGCGCCCGTCCCGCCCGCCCTTCACACCTTGGTGCACACGGAGGGGGCGTCCGCGGGGCCACACGCGTTGCCAGCGGATTCCTGTCCGCGCCTGGGTCTCCCGGGAAAGCCTCGGAACACGGGGCAAATGGGCACGTAGTGCAGCCAGCGGCTGCTCCGCACGGCGCTCATTCCGAAGGGGAAGTCGTAGCTCTTCAAGCTGGCCGCGGTCGAGCTGTCCGAGTGCGCTCCGGCCTTCCACTGCACCAGGCCCCGCTCCTCCTGGGTCCCTGCAAGGGGAGATGCAGCTCGGCTGGCACAGGGGCAGCGAAACGGCGCCCTGGGGAGCTGTGAGGTGCGGGCTGCACCACGAGTCCCTTCCAGGGCCATGACTGCGGAGCGGGAATCTCCCAGCGCGGATGCCGGTGTTGGCCAGGCTGCRGGGGCCGAGCAGCCTCGGCAGCCAGCGCTGATAAACACGGTGCCTTCCTTAGAAGGATGGAAAGAATCCGTCGCCGCGTCGGCTCAAGCAACTTGCTCGGCCACCCGCTGTGCTCACGGAGATCTGTTAGGCAGCGCAGCCAACAGTGCCACTCCGCTCAGTGCGGGCCCGGAGCAGCGTGCGGTCGCTCACCAGGCTCTGCTCGGCAGGCTGCTCTCTGGAAACCTGCCCTTGCAGCTGCTGCAGCAGCACCACGGGGTCTCCCTGGGGGGTTTTGCTAACCCAAAGGCGCCTGCAGCCTCGCAGTGGTCTCTGGCTGCGTTTAAAGAATGACACACAGAGCCGCTCCAAGCCCCCTAGGAGGGAGCAGATCTGGGTAAAACCCTCTGTTTTTCTCCCCGTGGCTCCGGGAAGTTTACCTGGGATGGTGTTGTCCAGGATGAAGGCGATGGTCCCCCCAACAAACATCTCTGTCGTTAAGAGCACTGTGAATATTTGGTCCAGTTCGGGGACACCTGCGAGGGTTCAGACAGGGCATTGACTGAGGAGCAGGAAAGGAGCCCAAAAAGGAGCYGAGAGCCCCGGGGTGCTGGGGACGCGGGGCTGCCACTCCGCGCTGCATCTCGTGGGCGCTGCAGGGCCCTCACCTTGCGCTCATCTTTAATGCCAGGCCACTCAAATGGTCTCATCTTTAGCAATGTCGTCATCTACCTGCACCATCTTCCTTGTCCCTGGTATCAGTCATTCCCTTACCCTGGGACCGCTGTCCCGCTTTAACCCCCCTTCTGCTTTATAAACGTTCGGACAAGTGTCCTTCAGCCAGCATGGCCCTCGCTGAGGTGGCCAGGGCTGCTCAAGGCGGGTGTCAAAAGGCGGGGAAGTCGCCAGCTGCAGACAGAAACCACCTAGCGAGGGCTTCGATCTGCTATGGGCTGGCAAGAGCCTTCAGTCCCCACGGAGCTCCCATGGAAGCTGTGTTATTCCTAGGTGTAGCATGATCAAGATGTGCCTTATTAATCACTGCTCACCCCGGGTGCTCTCATAGTGCCTGAGAGATCTGCTTTCCTCTCTCGCTAAACATTAGCAAGCCAAGAATTTGCTAGAGGGGGTGATTCCTGCAGTGGCAACTGAGAGCGTGAAACACGCTCGGAGTACCTGTCTTAATGGCGTTGGGGTTGGAATCCAAGTAGTTGGGCAGCGTCAGCCCAAAAAACATGGCAAAGCCCAGGACGAAGAGGTTGCGGGAGGAGTTCATGTCAACGAACTGCAGGTTGGAGAGGCCGACGGCCGTGATCATGCCTGCAAGGAGGGCAGGTTGAGCCCCACAGCGGCCCGGGACAAAGGGCCCTGCGAGCCCGGGGTCTGGAGGCTGTTGGGGTTTACGGGCGGATGGCGCCTGCGAGCGGTTACCGAACAACGTGCAGAACATCCCTCCGAGGATGGGGTCTGGGAGCGCGGCAAAGAGCGCCGTGAACTTGCCGATGGTTCCCAGGAYGAGCATGATGCCCGCGCCGTACTGGATCACTCTTCTGCTCCCCACCTGCACGGCGGGACGGGCAGTGAGGCTAGGTGGGCYGGCCTGTGGCCGTCCACCCTTCACAGCGGCAGCCGTCCTGGCTTTCCAAGCAGATCCTCGGGTTTCCAAACAAGCATCTCGTGCAGAGTGAACGTGGGGGCTTGGGACGCTTGGTGTGCACTGTCCCCTCAGCGTGTGGGACAGCCCCTGGCCGAGCCCCTCGCTGCTCTGCGTGAGAAAGGCCCTAAACCCCCCTGACTACTGAGGTAGAGGAGCAGCAGGAAGGGGCAGCACTGGGAGAACTGCGTCTGCCGGGGCGGACGGCCGAGTGTAGCCAAGGGCCGAGTGGGAAGTGGCCCCTGCCCTGGGGGCTCTGAATGGGTGCCTGGGGGCTCCCCGGGGAATGCGGCTGCTGGGGCCCGATGGTACCTTCGTGATGCCCAGCACGCCAATGTTGGGGCTGGAGGAAGTGGAGCCGTTGCCCGTTCCCAGCAGCCCGGCTATGATGCAGGAGATCCCTTCCGTGAAAATACCCCTGGAAAGTGGATTGAACTCACGGGCCGTGCCCGTGTTATCCATGGCGCTGGACTGGTGGGCGGGTAGCCACGGACACTGGGGCCACCACTGGGGCCAGCTACCTTGCGGGCAGCTGYACACGCTGGGCCCGCACAGCCCGGCCTGGGGACCCACCTGTTGATGGCGTGCACAGGAGGGGCCGGCGCACCCGCCAGGCGCGCGCASGAGTAGTAGTCCCCGATGGACTCGATGATGCCCGCCAGCGTGGCGCTGAACATGCCCAGCACGGCTGCGGCCGTCACTGTGGGCAGGCCCCACTGACCTGCCAGGGGAGCAGAGCAGGCGTGAGCGGCCGCGGGGCGCCCATGGGTGCTGCGGCAGGCTGAGGTTCCCCGCGTCCTCGAGCAGCGCCTGGCACCACCGGGAGCGCAGGGCGCCCAGGGCGGCCACTCACACGGGTAGGGCACGCGGAACCAGGGTGCCACGGAGAGGATCTCGCCCCGCGCGTCCGTGCGCGCCTTGTAGCCGTACGCGTCGGGCCGGCTGGGGAAGACGTCGGCCCGCGTCAGCAGGTAGCACAGCAGCCACACCACCATGATGGCCAGGATGATCTGCAGGGAGCGCGCGGGGCTGAGCGGCCCCGCAGCGGCCGCCCCGCCGCCAGCGCCCGGCCCTAGGACACGACGTGCCTGGGTGCCTGGGGCACCGCCAAGCAGCGGAGACCCCAGCCAGGGCAGCTCCTACCGGGAACATCTTGAAGATCTGCACGCGGAAGAGGACGAAGCCTCGGCCCCAGCGGTAGCCGGGCAGGCGCAGTGTGATGTTCCGCAGGTACTGGGCAAACAGCACGATCAGAAAGATGGTCCTGGGGAGAGACGAGCTCGCTGAGGGCTGCTCAGGAGCCACCTCCACGGCGAGCGCAGCGGAGCAGGACGTGGCGCCCTCGATGTCTCAGTGAAGGGACTGGGATTGTGCTAGATCCAGAGTCAGACTCTGCAAAGAGTTTCAGCAGGAAAAGCCATGCTCCCTTCCATGCTTATTTTAGTGTCTCTCTCTTGGCAAGCTCTACCTGGCAAGCTGCAGTGTTGGCACAAGGGAAAAAGGGTTAAAAAACTGCAAGAGCCATTCGGAGCAGCCGGAAACAAAGGTGTTTGCGCTGGTTGCTCCAGCAGCACTGGGACATGCTCCAACACGCCTGCACTGAGGCAATGGGCTCATCTCCCGCCGGGTCGGGGCGTGGGGAGCCCTTGTGCCCGCCACCCGCCTTGGGCTCCATGCTACATTTGCTGCGGTGCCTCCCCCCGATTTCCCACCATCCACTTTTTTGTCGGGGAGGTTCTGGAGGTTCGTGCCCCCGGCCCACCCGGCAGAGCCCCGCGTACAGCGCCGCGATGCCCCAGTGCGATCCTGCCCGCTCGCCGGCCGCGTGGAAGACGGAGAGGCCGATGAGCGACACGGTGGGGGTGACGGTGAGCGGCCCGATGTAGCTGAGCAGCGCGCCGGGCAGCCCCAGCAGCCCGATGACCACCTCCACCAGGCTGGATACGATGATGGCCCCTTGGATCTGGCGGGCGGAGAGTGACAGGCGAGGCGCTGAGGTGGCCAGGGCGCCCTGCGTGTCCCCGCGCGCTCCAACAGGGCCCTACCTCCCTCATGCGCGGCTGCCAGATGTGCGAGGTGTTCAGCGGCAGCGCCCAGTTGCCGTAGATCTGCTCTGGGGACCGGGCGGCCCGAGGGGGCACTTAACCGCGGCACAGGACGATGCCCTGCGCCGCCGTTCTGCCGCGCGTGCCGCGCCGCCCGCCTTACCCTCCGGCGGGCACTTCCACTTCTCCAGGGCCAGGATGGACTTGGCGGGGACGAGGAAGGCCAGGGCGCTCGCCTGGAAGAGGGGCAGCCTGGGCAGGCGAGGGGGAAGCGCTGTGCTGGCGGCAGGCCTGGCCCGGCCCCCGCCGCATCCCTGCCGCGGGGCCCCACCTGATGCCCACGGTGGTCTGCACCAGCGTGGTGATGCCCACGCAGGTGAAGATGGTGCCGATGAGCTGGCTCACAGTGAACTGGTCCTTGCCCACGCACAGGCTCTCGGCCAGCAGGAAGGGCACGGCAATGGTGCCGCTGAAGCAGGTCAGGTAGTGCTGCGCGGGGACGGCGCCGCCGCTCAGGGGGGGCAGCGGGGACGCTGCTCCGGGCGCTGCCCCGCGCCACCTCCAGGCCCCTTACCTGGAAGCCCAGCAAAATGCAGAGGTACCAGGGGGGCACATCCTCAATCTTGTAGATCATGTCGAAGCTCTTACTCTTCGGGCCGGTGGGGCCAGGCGCTGCCGCTGCCTCCTTCGCTTGGGGAGGCCTGGGGCTGGCCGGGCCATCGGTGGGTGCCGTGTCCCCATTCTGGCGCCGGGGAGAGGCGGGAGCTGAGCCCGCGTGGTGCCAGGCGCGCGCTCGGAACCGGGCTCTGCTGCAGCACCCCCCGCCTGTGCGTGGCGCCCAGTGCACCCATCAGCTCCCGGTGGCTGGCACGAGACCGGGCAGCTCCCATGTCCCCGGAGGTGCCACGGGCCCCTGGCCCTGCTGAAACCGGCGCCCAGGAGCCTGGGGGCACTGGCTGCCCTAGAGACACCTCCCTGCTTCAACTAACAAGCGGCTGTAACTTGGGGCTGACCTCCCGCTTTCCGCCCTCCCTGCCGGAGGGGCCTCCCAACGCAGCCCCCGGCTCTGGGCGGGAGGAGCGGCCGGGGTGGTGACCGTGGCCAGGCCGGGGCCAGGACGCGCCGGGTTCACCTGGGGCTGCGGCAGGTCTCCCGAGCTGGTGCCCATGCTCCGGCAGAGCGGCCCGGCCGGGGGCTGCGGCTGAACAGCGCTTTTTATGGCCGCCTGGAGGACTTTAGTCAACACCTCGGCCATGGTTCGGGGAGGCGATCTGTAACGCGGCCATTGGCTGCCGGTTGTGAAACGGGGCGAGCTCTGCCTCTCAGGAGGATCATCTATTAACTCCTTTAATTGGGCCTGGCATCACCTGGTGGGCGGCCGTCGCCGGGCGGCGCTCGGGGTGTCCCCGTGGGCTCCCTGCGCTGTGATGGGGCCCAGGGGCTGAGCCCACCCAGCGGCCCCACTGCGGGGCCCGCGGGGGCTGCGGTGCCAGCGCTGCTGCGGGGGTGCCCCGGTTCTGCGTGTCGTCCCGTGCCCGCCCCGCGCGTCCCGCTCGGCAGCGCCGGGGCTAGCTCCAAAGGTCGCCGGGGCATTAAGCATTAACCACCCTGGCAGGCGCGGTGGCACGCTCGCTGAGGAGAGGGGCACCCTGGTGCTTGGCATGGGGGAGCGCGGTGTCCACGTGGGACGCAGGGAGCGGGGCTGCGGCTATGCGTGTGTGCCCGCGGGGATGGGTGCTCCAGCACGGGGTGGAGTAGGGTTGCGGGAAAGCCCCCTTCACCAGGGCAGCTGTGGAAATACCCTTCAGGCCGTGTGATGGTGCTGGGACTCCTCACGGCCAGGCAGGGACACGGGTGGAGGGGACACGGCCAAGGCAGAGCGAGGGGCTTGCGGGATGATCACGCATCCCCACTTTGCCAGCTGGCCCCTCTATCCCCCAGGGCCTGCCSAGGGCGGCGCTGAGCCCCACCACCCCCAAAGAGCTGCACACTGATGGCAGGAACAAGGACATCTCTATTTTCCAGGCCGGCCGCACAGCGGCGGCTACAGCTCGTTCTGTGGCGCCTTGGCGGGCGCCGCGTGGCCGGCGCGGTGCAGCGCGGTGCAGGCGCCCTTGGTGCCGTGGCACAGCAGCTCCTGCAGCGCGGCGGCGCCGCGGCGGTGTGCCTGGTACAGCTGCTCCTCGCCCAGCTCGCCCACGTAGCCGTGGCACATCTTGTGCAACCTGTGGGGCGCGTGCAGGGCTCAGCGCYGCCGCGCCGCGTGCTGCGCCGCCCCGCGCCCCTGTCCCAGCTTACCTGCCCGGCCACGGGCCCCCGGACATTATCACTGTCACGGACTCCTGGTTGGGCAGCCCTGGCCCTGTGAGGCGCTTCACCCCCTCCACCTCCATGACGCCATAGCTGCGGAGACACGYGGCGTTGTGGCCCCCAAGGGCTGTGGGGCCGCGCAGCGCCGCCGGTGCCCACTCACCCGTCCCAGCTCTGCGTGCAGCTCTTCTCCAGCACCTCCATGTACTCGGACTCGCGCAGCTCGGCGCCCRCCTTCCTGCCCGGCGACCGCTTGGCCTCCGCCTTGCCCAGGTGCTCCTGGATCTTGGGCGTGAAGGAGAGAGGCGACAGTCGGCAAGATGCCTCAGGAGGAACCGCAGGAGGCCCGGGAGCTCACAGGACTCCATGGAGAGCCATCGAGGCCACCAGGGCTTTCGGGGCGGCCCCGCAGCTGCAGGCACCGCTACTTTGCATCGTCTGTTTTTACCCTTCAGCAGAGGCCGTTGGACGCCTCTGGCAGCACCTCCCTGCTGCCCATGCCCCGGTCCCCAGCCAGGTGCCCCTGCCGCAAGGACCTGGTGTTGGGGGGTGCGTGGGGCCCCCCAGGCCGCCGCGGAGCCCACCTGGAAGGCGATGGCGCGGCAGGCGTCGCAGCGCAGGTGCTCGGGCATGTGGGCCGAATGGGCCTCCTCGGCGCTGAGGCGCGGCGCGAAGGCCGAGCGGGCCGGTGCYGGGGCGGCACCGCATGACTCCTCGGCCTTCCTCCCTGCGAGGAAGCCSAGGGCCACGCAGGCCACCAGCAGCGGCTGCATCCTGCCTGCCAGGAGCCCGCGACAGTGCCGGCRGGGCTGGGCTCACATATATATATAGCTGTGGCTACAAAGCCCCGTGGCACCTGCATCCGGCCCCGCGCTCCTCCCCGGCGGGCCCAGGGCCACTGTCCCCAGGGGTTTTTGCTCCTGCGCACCCGAGGTGCGGGCCCGAGGGTGCCCCGCTGCAGTCCCCGCAAACCAGGGGCTGCCGCTCTGTGTTTGGGCACCCTGGGCCAGCTGCTCCTTGTCCGGAAGGGCTTGGGTTTAATTCAACCCTGCAACTCCTACTGGTGTGCTCGTGCTGCCCAAATCCCTGCCAGGCTCCCTCGCTGCGCGCAGGGCGCCCGTCGCCCTGCATCCCGTCCCCCGTCCCTGCTGCTCCCCGGCACAGCGAGAGCCAGTTTCAAGCGGAGCTGGCTGCAGCTCAGGGCCGTTGCTGCCATCCCTGCGGAACGTCCCCTGCTGCCATCCTGCCCCTGCTGCCTGTCCCTGCCTCCGTGCATGGCTGGATCAGGCCCTGCCCCAGGCACCCCCAGGGCCAACGCGTTGGTGCTGCAGGGCTCAGTATACTGAAATCAGGGTGCCCTAAGGAACCCAGGACACGGTCACCTGCTCCCTGCCCTGTTCCCTCCTTGGCAGACACACAACAAATACCATCTTTCAAGGTTATTATCTCATCACTTTTATTGCTTAGAAAAAAAAAAATGAGTTTTATCTGTGGCAGAGAAAGGCCTCTTTGTTCGCAGCCACTGGCAGTGGCTGAGGCGCCAATGCAGCCGCACTGCCGCATACCCAGCATAACCTCGGCGTCACGAGCGGACAGCGGCCCGGCACCGCTGCCCGCTGCTTCCTTTCTAACTGTATTCCCCTCTCCTGGTGCTGCGAGGCTCTTTCTGGAGCTGGAGGCGCCGAGCTCCCCCGCAGCTTTGCACGGGGGCTCCCTGCACGGGCTGCCGGGCTGCACGGGGAGCTCTGGGATTGCCCTGTGCACCGGCCTTTCCCTGCCGCGTGCAGCGGCGCGGGGAAGGGAGCTGCATCTCCTGGGACGGGCTTTCCACCTGCCCTCCTGCGGGGCCTCCTGCCGCGCTGAGCCTGCTGGAGCGTTTCCAAATGCCCGTGCGTGTTTTCCCCCGTGAGCCACCCACATGCCTCCTGCTACAGCACCTCTGAGCAAGAACAAGCAGCAAGCAGCGCCCGGCCAGCCCCTGCCTGGCCCCGGCGCCAGGCCGCCCATGGGTGCCAAGTGAGGGTGTCCTTGGAGGGGTCACACTGGGGAGCCCTTGGCAGGGGGTGCAGCGCAGGGCGCCCAGGGGACGGGATGGTTCTATGGAGGGAAGGGGGTGCCCAGCATCCTGGCCCCTTCACTGGCAATAGCCCAACTGCCCACGCCTCAGGACCCTCGGGGCTGCCAGCTGCTCATGCTGTAATAGATTGGAAAAAATACCTTTTGTTTTTCCTTTTTCCTATTCCTATGAGAGATGGGTGAGGTGCAGCCGGCRGCTCCTGCCCCTCGGGTGCTCTGCAGACCCAGCCTTGGGCACAGGGTTTCTCCCTCCATGGCAGCTCGGGGGTAGACACTGACCTGCCGGGCTGGGGGGTTGGGTGTTAACGCCGGGGCTCCTGCGCGCGGTTGCCGCGTCCATCGCAGAGGCACCGGCCATCACATGCGGAGCAGCGGCGCCTTCTCGGGCGCGCCTGGGCTGCTGCTGGCGGCAGGCTGGCCAGGGCCGGGCCCGGGGCCGGGGCTGGCCCGCATGCCCGTGGGGATGTAGTACAGGCTGTCCAGGTAGCTGCAGTCGGGGCCGGCCGCGCCTGGGGGCCCCTCACCCTTGGGAGCCGGGCTGAAGGCTGCGCCGAAGGAGGCGTTTTCGGCCGCTGGTGCCTGGCCCTGTGGGTCCGCGTGCGCTGGGGAGACAGCGGCGGGTGCTGCCAGCCCAGAGAAGCCGGCGTAGGGCACGTAGGGGGGCCCATAGACGCCGGGTGTCATGACCAGAGGAGCCTGGTAGAGGCCAGCGTGGGATGCCAAGGGCACCGGTGGGATGAGCACCTCGAGGTACTGCCCCGTCTCAGGATCATAGAGCGTTTTCAGCTGGGGCTGCCTCGGCGGCTCCATGTAGTAGCACTTGCCACTGTCAGGATCCAGGAGCATTTTGCGGTGCTGGTGGGGCGCGAAGGGCCTGGTGGGGCTCGGTGTGCTCTTACTGCTTGGCGAGGTGCCGTCAGTCCTCCTTAGGAAGTGGGCAGCGTCCTCGAGGCRCAGCTGGGGCTGGGCGCCCAGCTGCTCTGCAGCGGCCTGGCCTTCCGAAGCAGGAGGCAGGGGCAGCTCAGGGCTGGGGTGGCTCTGTGGGGCTTCCCCACCCACCAATGGAGACCTGGCTGCCTTAGGAACCGAGGGAGATCCCGGTGAAGAGCTTGCTGGGTTGGACACTGATGGGTGCCAAAGGGAAGCAGGGCCTGGGTTTGCRGCCAAGGGAGCCCCAAAGGATGTACTGGGTAGGTTGGGTACCAAGGGAGCCCCAAAGACTGTGCTGGAGGGGTTGGGGACCATAGGAGATCCAAAAGAAGCGCTGGTTGGTTTGGAGGCTGGTGGGTACCCAAAGGATATGCTGGAGGGGTTGGGGGCCAAGGGGCTCCCAAAGGAGGTGCTGGCCAGGCCAGAGGCTGATGGGTACCCAAAGGACGTGCTGGCTCGGGTGGGGACCAGGGGCGTCCCAAAGGATGTGCTGGCTGTGTTGGGAACCAAGGGGCTCCCAAAGGATGTGCTGGCCAGACTAGAGGCTGATGGGTGCCCAAAGGATGTGCTCGCTCGGTTGGGGACCAGGGGTGTCCTGAAGGATGTGCTGGCTGTGCTGGGGACCAAGGGGGTCCCAAAGGAGGTGCTGGCCAGGCTAGAGGCTGATGGGTGCCCGAAGGATGTGCTCGCTCGGTTGGGGACCAGGGGCATCCCGAAGGATGTGCAGGCTGTGTTGGGGACCATGGTGGTCCCAAAGGAGGTGCTGGCCGGGCTAGAGGCTGATGGGTGCCCGAAGGACGTGCTGGCTTGGTTGGGGACCAAGGGGGTCCCAAAGACTGCGCTGGCYGGGCTGGGGACTGAAGGCAGCTTTGGTGCTGGGCTGGATTTGGGGGCTTTCACAGGGATTGTTAAGTAGTTCGTGTTCTCCACAGGGGTAGCCGTAAAATACTGTTCGTTGGCTCCCGTCTGCTTCGTTAAATGCTCCCAGTTCTCCCTGTGGTCCAGCAGCCTGCCAGCAAGTGGCGCTGGGGCAGCAGAGGGACCCTGGGGCACCGCAGCCTCCTCACTGGCCTCCCTGGCTTGGAAGGCGGCAGAAGCACCCACGCCGCCCGGAGACACGCTGCTCCCCGCGGCAGCCACCCAGCCGCCTGGCGGCTTCACCGCATCGGGCCTCTCCCTCTYGGCCTCCCGGGGCCCCGTGCTGCTCAGGAGGTGCTCGTTCACGGGCGGCTTCGGGCCGCTTGCTGCTGCTGGTTGCGTGGCTTGCRGACGTGGGTTGACCCCTGCGGGTGGTGCCAGTTCAGGGACCCCTCTGGCCCCAGGTGGCCGCAAAAAGCCCTCGCTGCTGCTGGGCTGCTGCGATGGTGGGTTGGGTGCTCTGGCTGAGGCTGCAGCGTGATGGTGCCCCGTGGCTTCCTCTGTGGCACTTGCCGGAGGTGGGAAGAGGACAGTCTTCTCGGTGAGCAGCACAGCACTGCTCGCCACGGAGGCAGGAGCAGCMGGAGCCGAGGGGCCATCGCGGCAGGGCCCCCCCTGCGCGGGGCTGGGCGCCTGTGTCGACGGCGGGCTCACCCGCACGTGCAGGTGGGACTCCATGTGCGGCGCCGCCCTGGCCACGGGCGGCAGGGTGAGCTCGCTGCGCTCRTGGCGCACGGCGGGCTCTGCGCCGCGCCCCGCCGGGCCCTCCTGCCCGCTGGCCACCCGCCGCGTCGACTGGATCTTCGTGATGCTCATTGGGGAGTCCCTGGCTGCCGAGCGCTGCCTTTCAGGAGGCTTCGTGGGGCCAGTGGTGCGTGCCTCGCGTGCCTCGCAGCCGGGAACCGCCAGCACTGCCCCGTCYTCCGCCTGCTGAGGGCTTTTCTGGCGAGCGCGGCTCATCATCGGCACCGGCTCTTTGCGGCACACCGAGGTGCAGTGTATGAAGAGTGGGGAGGCTGCGGCGGGGGAGCCCGTGGGGGAGCCCACACCGCCRCCACCGGTGCCCGTGCCTGGGGCGGGCGACGCCGCGGCGCCCGCCGGCTTGAAGCAGAGGCTGTAGGTGTTCTTCACCAGCTTGCGGACGTCCCGGGGCTGAGGGATCTGCCCCTTGCCCTTATTTCCAGGCTGGGGAGTCCGCTCCAGGGGACGGGTGACAGGGGGCCGKCGAGGAACCGGAGGGGCCTCCCGGGGTGCCCCTGCCATGGGACGTCCCACAGAGCCGCCCTCGAGCGGTGCCTTCTCCTCTTGCTGGCTCTGTGGGACCAGCTTCACCTCCTGCGTCCTGGAGGTGAAGAGGCTCCGGGCGGCTGCCACAGGGATGCTCAAGGCCTTGGGCTTGAAGGGGATCGCCTCGGGCTTGCTCGGCCGGATGGCTCGCTGCCGCAGGCTCGGCCATGGCTTTTGGGGCTTCTCAAATTTCGGCGGGGCATCGGGCGCCTTCCCGTCATCCTGCGGCGGTTCGAACATGGCGCGCGCGCGCCGGTAGTCCTCCCTCCTCCTGCTCCGCGCCTGCTCGGCGAGCAGCGCCTGGCACTGCATCACCTCCTGGTACTTGATCCGCTCGTTGAGCTCGTTGAAAGTGGTCTTCAGCTTGCAGACATTCTCCCTGGTCTCCTCGTTGAGCACCACCCCCTTGGTGGGCCGGGTGGCWACGGGCACAGGCCTTTGGCTGCCCACATGGCCCTGCACGTCCTCGGCTGAGTAGCTGCAGTCTGACTTGGACAGTGAGCTCGACTTGCCCTCCAGGCAGTCACCCGCCAGGTCGGTGCCCACGGATGAGGGCCCTGATGATGTCGAGCTGCCCTGCAGGGCCTTCTGCTCCATCTTAATCCTTTGCTCGTACTGCATTTTTTTGGCCAGCACGTTTTTCACCAGGCAGGAGGCCATCCTTGTCTTGTCGCAGGTGTCATCCAGCGACGCGGTCCTCATGAACTGCTTGTAGTTGATCCTGAACTCGTCGCTGATGGCCCTGCCTTTCGTCAGGGGCTCCTTGCGGGGTGGTGGCAGCGGCTGGTGGGCTGAGCAGTCACCCCAGGGGAAGAAACCTGCCTCCTTCCTCTCCTTCCTCTTGAGCTGGATCTGCCGCTTGGGGACGGTCCTTTTCTTGCAGTGACCCTTCTTAGCATCATTGCTCTCCAACTCCACATCAACRCACTCGAACTGCTCCTTGCCCGGCAGGCTGCCCACGAGCTCCTTGTCCAGGGCCTGTCCCACGCCGAGGAAGGGCCGGGCGGGCCTGGTGTGGAGCGCGAGCGCGGCGCCCCGCGGCTCGCCGCCCGTGGGCCAGCGTTTTGCGGTGCCGCCGTCCTCCGASAGCGAGTTGGAGAGGCTGGAGGAGGTGTGGGAGCTGTACATGTCGAGGTAGCCGCCGTGGGGGCCCGAGAGGCTCCGGAAGGAGCGTGCCGTGAGCTTCTGCACCTCGTTGTCGGCCTCGTCCGAGTCGCTGAGGGCRCCGCGCGGGGCGCACGCTGCCTTGCTGGCCCCAGCCGCCCGGCCGCCCTTCTTGGCTTTGTGCGCGGCGCAGAACATCAGCGCCGGCGCCTCCGCGCTGAATGGAGGCGGCTGATCCGAGGAGTCCGAGGCAGCAGGCGGCCGTTCCCCTCGGCCAGGACCCATCCTGCCCCCGTGCCCGACCGCCGCACTATTCTTAGCCGTGACTGACAGCTGAACCTGTTGGGTCCTCTCCTCCTGCGGGCGGCTGCCGGCAGCTCCTGCGCCACTGGGAGCGCCACCAGGGCTGGCGGTGCTGCCGCCCGGAGCCCAGCGCTCTGCGCTTGCCCCGACCCGGCCTGGCGGCCCCTCGGCGCCCACGGGGTAGCCCTGGTCCTCCAAAGGTGGCTGGGCTGCTGGGGCCTCCTCTTCCTCTTCCAGGAACTCCAGGCAGTCGCCGAAGGTCTCTGTGCCCTCGGAGCACAGGGCAGAGTGGTAGGAGGAGATGGAGGAGTCGGACATGCTCTTGGGGAGGTCGTCCCTGGAGAGGCCGAAGAGGTGGCCGTTGTCCTCGGCCGCGGAGCGGGGCCGCTCGCAGATGCCCTCACTGTCACCGACGGGGAGCTCGGCAGCCTGGCTGGTGCCGGCGAGCGTGCCCGCCTTGCTCGTCCCGCAGGGAATCATGTTGGTGGCTGGGGCGGGTGCAGGCGCCACGTGGGGCTGGCCGTGTGGGGGGACCCTGCGGCAGTGCGCGGAGCCGCTCGCGCCCGCCGCCGGCCGTCCTGACCTTCTGGCTTCCTCCCCGTCACCACGGCTTAATGCAGTCATCCCCGGCGCGAGCCTGCGATCACATGCGCCCCGGCCAGCGCCAGCCCCGCAGCGCAGAGCTGCCAAGCACCCTGCCGCGCAGCCCCCAACCTGCCGGCCAGGGGCGCCCCCAGCCCCACAGCGCGGCTGGGAGCCCGGGGCCTGCAGAGACCCCACGCTCGCCCCTGCAGGGGCTGCCCCGGCCCTGCTGTGCCCCGGCCCCGAGGGAACCCACCCTGGGGATGCCCTCGCTCCTGCTCTATCCCCACGGCCGCTTCCGCCCGCCTGGCTGTGCCGACGGATCTCTCCATCCTCCAGCTGCCCCCAAGCGATACCTGGCCCCTCGCTGCAGCCACCCAAGGCCGCACCAAAACTCAACAGCCAGCGGCCAGGAGTGGATTTTAAGGCTTGAGAGCAAACCGGGCATCCAACACCTCCAGGTCTCGTGGTAGCGGAGAGAAGGGTGCTTATGATTTGCCCCTTTTTCGGAGCYCCAAAGCAAGCAGCCGGTGCACCGAGCCCCACACAAGGGTCCCGGCACCGCCAGCAGCCTCCGAGGGCTGTCGCTGCCGCTCCCCGCCTGCCTCCGGAGGGATTTTTTGAAGCGGGAGGCACCGGAGGATCAGCAGCAGGTGCTGCGTGGAGCTGCCAGCCCCAGCGCAACTTGATGCCCAAGTCGTTTGGGTTCACACAGAGACTAAATTTAAACCTTGGCGAGGAAAAGAAAGGCACGAAAAGCTGCTTCTCCAGAGCGGCCCTGCTGTTTAACCCCTCCAGTGCCATTCGTGGTGCCGAGCACTCCTGGTGCTTTGTGGAGCGGCGCGGGGCCCTCGTGCAGCGCCGGCTGCGGCGGCAGGGCTGGCGGAGCAGCCGCCCGGTGCCCTCATGCAGCGTTGCTGAGCGGGGCATTGCCGGCCTGCGGGACCGGCCCCTGCACGCCCGGGTGCAGCGGGCCGGGCGGGCGCCTGCTGAGTCACCGCGCGCCGGCCTCGGCACGGAGCCAGGGGCAGCGGGCCGGCCGCCTGCGCCGCCGCGTCCTGCAGCGGGGAGCGGGTGCCGCTCTGCAGCGAGGTAAAGCCGCAGGCTGCGGAGCGGAGCCAGTGTGAGCGTCTCGCTCGCTGCCCCGGCCCCGTGTGGCCAGCCCGGCCGGCTAAGCCAGCCCGGGTGCCTGCACCCAACCAACCTGTCTGTAACCCTGGACACCCAAGTGTCCCGAGCCAGCTCAGGCCTAACCTGGCAGCACCAAGGCTGCCCGGGGCACTGATCTGCGCTTGATGCTGGGGACTCTCTCATGGCGGGTCATGGCAGCAGCGTGAAGGAGTTGTGGCGTCAGGTCCTTGGGCGGGCAGGCAGCACCACGGGTGGCCTTCAGCCTCCTCAGGGTGCAGGGAGGGCATGTACCTTGCTGAATAGCTCCAGTACATCGGGGGGTAGCACTCCTAAGGGCAAGGAAGTGGCGCAAGGGAGCAAACTGCAGAGCACAGGTGAAATGAATGAACTGTCTTTGCGGACGAGGTGCCATGGGATGCAACACAGCTGGAGAGGACACCCAGGAACAGGAGCCTCCAGGATGCTCCAGAATGTAACTGCCGGTCTGCACAGCATGGAGCATGAGGCTGTTCCAACAYTGCTGGGCTGACCGGGCGAGGGGAAAGGTCCTTGTGCTGTTAGCTGCAGCTAAAGGGTCCAGGCTGCGGGTGTGTGCTTTGCACGCTCAGTAGATTTAGGGGAACTTCTGGTGTCTTCCTCGCTTGAAAACTTTCCCCTGCTTCTTTGCCAGCACTCGAGCTATGTACAATTCTTGCTGCTTCTGTATCTTTAACCCAGACACTTGGTTCCTGMCAAAAACGAAGCAGTAACAGTTTAAATAGGTGCAACCAGTGGCAAGAAAACACCGGAGGCTGGTAGGTGGCTGGAAAGCACCGTGCACGCTCGGTTTCCATCTCCTTCCCGGGCACCTACTTGGCACGGATGGAGAGGGGACACAGACTGCCTGGCCYGGCAGAGCCCAGGGCTCCTTCCTTGCCCACAGGCCCATGCTAAGGGGAAAATAGGTCTTCCTGCCAGTACAGCCATCTGCAGCGAGGCTGCCGACAGCCCGTGGGCACCATACACACTGGAGCGTCTGTGTCTGCCGGGCGACGCAGTGCTGCAGCGCCTGGATCTCCTTCTCCTTGTCCTTCAGCACATCCGCCTGCTGTATGACGTGGCTTTTTATTTCTATAGCAAAAAGAGAGGAAAAGCCAAGGCCGAGATCCTTGGGGTCTCATCTGTGTAGCCCATGCTCCTACAAGCCACTAAGGTTCAAGGATTTTAGGGCAACAACCTGGAAAACTGCAGCAGAATGGTCAGGAAAGGCTGTGCACTCATTCGCCTTGGCTTTGAGCAGAGACCAACCCTGCACGTGATGCCTGCTCTATCCTGCAGTTCGCATGTTGTCCTGAACTGCTTCACACACGAGTTTCTGCCTCCTAGCCTGACTGCTCAGAGCCCCACATGAAGCACGTGGCAGGGTGCCGAGGGGAGCAGCAGGAACCAACGGAGGGAAGGGTCCACGTCCCCCCTCGCACTGCCACGGGAGGCACCTGGCCATCCCACGTGCAGTGGGACGAGCCCACGTGCAACCCACCCGACTGCTGGAGGGCGGCTAGGGAAGGCGCCTACACGGGCCCCTCTCTTGGCAGCACGCAGTTAAATCAGAGCGCCAGACTCGCTAATCCCGATTTAAACCCTGATTTACATCTGTACTTGAGCCAGCCTGGCAGACTTACTGTTGCATTTGCTTATTAACTCGTCTTTCTGTGTCAGTGCCGCAAGTGCTTTACTCTTAATGCTGTCAAGCCCGGAACGGAGGCAACAAAGAGGAAGACGAAGGCAGTCGGCRAACGCGCCTCTCCCAACCTGTGGCTACATGTTGCGACGCCAGAACAGTAGGGAATAGAAGCCCGAGTTGGCTGTGCCTGAGCTACACTGGACATCCRAAACATCCAAAGTAAAAATCCCAAGCACTTGGATAGCCCGTGCGTGCCGGGCGCTCCCAGGGCCGGGGCAGCTGCCCGGGCTGGCCCCGCGGGCGCTCCGCTCGCGCAGCCTTGGTCCACGTGGGAGCGGCCCCGGGGTCCGGTCCTGCTCCGGGGCCTCGTCGTGCACCGGCCCCTTCCTGCAGCAGGCTGCTCTGGCGCTCTCCAGGTCAGCCTGCGGCTCCAGCCCACGGCGTGTCCCCCCGCAGCCCCACTGCAGGGCCACGTTCCGCCCGGGACAAACCCGCCGCTTCGGCCAGCGCCCAAGGGGGACGCGGTGGGCAGGCAGGCTGCGAGAGGAGCCCCAACACGGGGAGCCCCAACACGGGGAGCCCCAACACGGGGAGCCCCAACACGGGGAGCCCCCAGCCCCGGACCGGCACCCACCCCCCTCCACGTGGGGACAGCACGAGGCCCCGCCCCCACCAAATCCCCGCCCCATTAAGGGGCGTGACCTACCCAATCCCCGCCCACACGAGAGCCCCTCCCCCGGGACCCGCCCCCTCCGCCGCCATCTCCCGCAGCCCCGCGGGGAAATGGCCGCCGTGGCACCCGTCTCCTAGCAACGCCTCTTCCCCCGCCTCTTAAAGGCGCCACTGCCCTCATCACCCTCGGCTCCACCACTCAACCCCTCACGAAGAAAAATAATTCTCAGGCTCCAGTTATTTCTATTCCGCATTTTTTTTTTTTTTTTTAAATCACGTACAGACAGAGAAATGTCCAATCTTTCAAAAGAAAAAAATATATATGAAAACAAAGCTCTTTGCAAGTCTGCTGCTCTTCCTAAAGCGACAGCAGTGCCCTACAAAGATTCCAACACTGTGGCTCAATATTCCCAGGCCACGCACAGGGACCTGGCGGGAGCTGCCGGGAGCGAGGCTAGCTCGGGGCACAGGGAGTGTTCTTGCTCCCTTTGGAGACCAAGAAATCCCTAAAGTCAATCATTCCCGCCAGTCCTTCCTGCTCAGTAACAGTAATGCATGTTAACAGTCCTGGGCTTGAGGGTTTTTTCTATTTTTCTTTCCTTTAAAGTAAACAGGATGCCAGTGTTTGCACAAAAACTGTTGCTATCGGTCACTAAAGCCATTTTAAGGAGCCAAATGTCCTTATTTGCTGCCTGCAGAACTGGCCCCTGTGACATCATTACTTGTGAAGAAAAACCTTATTGCTTTTTAAAAACGAATTTTACCTTYTGATCTCACTTTCCACCTACTGTCAGCCTCTTTCCTAGTCCCGGAGAAGGTGCTCAGGAGTCATGCTTCTCCTCCGRACCATCTCCCCCCTCTGCAAAGCACCTGGAGATCTCTGCAGGAAGGGTACGATATGTTTTAAGTGCAAAGCAGGAGTATTCAAGTTGTGTCAGTGCATCACTGGGCCTGTCACGGTGTTGGTTCCCCCCATCTCACCTTACAGGGGCCAAAGAAATGACGGGGAAGGAAAAATAACAAACCTGGAATGAAGTCCAAAGGCTTTAATACAATTGAAATATATTCTACAGGCTGTTTCATGGATTAAAAAGCAACCTTTAAAGGTTGTTGCTTTTTAGACACGCGTATAGTAAGCACTCAAAATTGGTAAATACCGGAATTAAGGCTGCCTATCTTCCTTTCTGCCACGTTTATCTATCYGCAACAACTAAATCTCACGTTTTCTTCCACAGACAAACTATCAGAGCAGCGYTGCAAAAGTGAAATACAAGCACTAACCCTCGGCACGTGCAGAGAGTACAAGCCTGTGGTTGCACCTTCATGCCCAGTCCCACAGAGCGTGAGTTTTTTAAAGACAGAGTTTTTTAAAGACAGTTTTAATTCTGGCATTTTTAAAGAACCTTTTGAGTACTTTGTTTATTTAAGCCAAGGCTTCCTCCACTATTTGTRGGCAATTTTAGCAACAGGAGCAGCAACAGACCGTTGTTCAGGTCGTTGTAGACTCGTACTTACAWGTCATGGTGGTCAAGCAACCGCTTTAGCGGCTGCTGTGCTAAAACCCCATATTAGAGAGGGAAGGCAGAAGCCTCTGCCACCGGTGCCTCTATTGYTTGGATATGTCGGTGGGTAGAAAACTTCATTCCACAGGTTTTATAGGTATCTATACATCCAAAAAAGCGCCTTCCTTCTACTACTTTTTAAAAGAAGTAGAATGAAATTTTCAGTGCAGCTACACGTGCTGAGCAGGCTGACGCTCCCCTGTGCGCAGCCCTGCGCAAGCTTCCCTCCTGCCATGGGCAGAGCTARGACTTCTCCAAGTGATGCCCTAGCGAAAAGGGTCCCAAATTCACTTGGTGCACAGGATTACGGCCATGCCCATTTTCCTTTCATCTCACTGGMAAGAGCGTGATTTAGGGATCTCCACAAGCGGGACTTTAGGTGGGTTAGTTTTCATCTGATCCAGGTAGACTAGATGCTGCTGCCRGTACAACACACACCAGCAACACCACCAAAGTTGGCTCAGGATCTTAATGTTGTTCATCATAGTAATAATCTGCTCTCTGTTCCTTATTAGCATGCCCCATCCTCAACTTTCCTGTAAACATCTGGCTTTGTAAAGGAGTCCAAAAAAACCCGGGAAGCTACTACATAGATCTTTTTCTTTGCAACACTAATCTCTACAGTGAAACATTCATAACTGCTCAGAGTAAAAATATGCTACATCAAAACTGTACCAGCAAGCAGAACCCCTGTAACAGCTGGAGAAGAGCTGGAAAACAAAATGAGAACGGAACAGCCAGCTTAAAAATATGCCACTGAGAACACGTAAGAAAATAAGTAACAGTTGTCCTTTCCCTACAGCTGGTGGACACTGGAATCAGTCCCGTGCACAGACTCTCTTCTTGCTGCTCCTGCTGCAATCGTGGCTGGTTTCCTCAGTAAGGAGTCAAACGGACATGKATCTTCAGTCAGACAAGCACCTTGTTACGTCCCCTTGATGTTAATGAGAGCTAGGAACATGCTCAAAAGCTTACCTGAAGCAGGTACCTCGTACTTCTCAATTAAGCAACAAATATTAGGCTAGAGCAAGAAATATGCCCGCTTCCAGCCTGAATTCTCATTACAAACTGCTGTAGAAGCAAGGACRGCCGCTCGAGGTCATTATGGAAGAGCTAGCACACCTTAATGCTGAGAGCTATACAGTATGATCGAGTGAACTGCAGGTCCATATAAAATACAGAAAGCAAAGGACATTATGTCTGCTCTCCTGGGAAGCACACGCTGCTCGGATGGCAGACAAACTACCATGAGATGGGTTCCAAACTGAGGRGAATTTCCCAGGGAATTATTTTACACTATGTGTCACTGGTCCTTGGAACCAAACGTAATGTACAGTATATTAAAGCAAACACCAGCTATACAGCTCGTGTTGGCCCATCTCTGCACTATATATGAAGGAATCAAGTATTCAGACTCTTTACAATAGACTCCTTCCCTTTTTTATACAAAGAAAAATAAAATGTAAGTTAAAACAGCAATAAATAAAAGCATAGAATGTGTATGTCCTGGTCAGCCCCCTTTGTGCATTCCAATCAGACTGGAGAGCTTCTCACAGTGCTCAAGTTTCAGTGATTCTGCTTTCTGTTTTAATCGTTCATCTCTGTACAACTTGGCCAAATTTGACAAATCAGATTCTGAAAGATGAAAAGAAAAAGCATTAGGACAAACTCTGAAGAGTCTACTTGGAGTAACTGTTTTGCCATGCTTTCTAATCCCCACAACATGGCCCTTATTTCAGGGACATCGAGCATGCTAAAAACCTGCTTTAGGAGAAGCCACGAGGTTTAATCAAGCTAGCAAGCTAAGAAAATGTATTTTCATAAGAACTTGAAAACTCAAACAATGAAAATATTCAGTTAAAATAACCCAAATACACCACAAGTAAAATGGAACAACTGCTGAAAACAAAAWTGAAGTGGGTTATCATTAGCTACAAATAAAACATAAAATTATAAATACAGATCATTATAGAAATTGCATAAGAGAAAATTGGTCATTAATAATCTAAATTAGATAATTATCTTAAGACAACGTTGAGTCAGAGGCCATTTGGCCTCTTAGAYAGCAATTGTCTTAGGTGACACCAGCATTTATATCTGAACTACACCCCATCACGCATTAACCCTTATTGCTGTTAATGTGTCACCGGGTWCAGGCAGACGGACACGAGAGGCTGCACCGTGAGTCCCAAGGGAGAAGCCAGCAGGAAAGCTGAGCCTCGTGACCACTTCTCCTGCCGTCTCCTTGGGGTCCTTCCTGACAGCTGTTTGCAGTGTAATAAGCCAGGCAGGATTTCCCAGCCACGCAGGAACAGCACAGCAATCCTTGCCCACGTTACTGAGAAATGCAATTCTGCCGGCACATCCGTTCTGCGAGGGCAGAGAAATCTAAATATTACTTCAAATATTACTTTGCTATCCACCTAAATATTAATTCAAAGGCAAAGTTGAGAGTAYAGTATCTTATATTAAGCCCTATGGATTTTTTTATTTTATTTTTTGATGTGGTGCTTCTTCGAATTCAAGTTCTTGGGCGAGAGCTTTGCCCCGAAGCCATGATAAATCAGTTTTCTTTCTTTGGTAATGGTTGTAGGAAGGTGAGCAGCTAGATCAGRGATTTGCCTGAAAGGGCTCTGTGCCCCTTCATTAACAATCTAGTCTCAAGTGCAGGGCACTTTTATTTTTATTCTCAGAAGCAACATATATAACTGAACRAAACCCACTGCTTGAATGTGACCCYGCAGCTCGGAAAAGCTGCTTTTGCTGCTAAGCTAAAGAGAGCTTTTTTCCCTGGAGAATAACTTAGATACGGGATTAGATGCACCTATGAGAACAGCAGTAATTCATTTCTGCAAAGGTCAAAATTATCCTAAGCACAAGCTACCTGATCCCATTTAATTTTTCTAAGAGCTTTTATTCACCTTTCAAGCCAATTCAGAGAGGAAAGCACATCCCAACAGGACAACCCCAACATAACCTTTCAAGTCACATGTCCTCCTTCTTACTGAAATCTAAAGACTTCTGACASTCCATCTATTTATTGAAAAGCTTTACAAGCTGACAAGCATGTTTTCCAGTTCTCATAACTAGAATACCACTCAAGTAGAGTGTGGACRTGGTGGACAGGGCCTTGACAAGCCTTTGGCAAGAGATGACTGAGGTAAATTGCCTTTCAGTCCCAAATGCAGGAGTTCTCTGCAATGCAGARTCTGTTAGTTACAGTTAGTTTCTTACAGTTTTGTATTTTCCACACCTAGTTGTTCCTCCATCCTTATTCAACTTCCAAGCTCTCTCTAGAGCTCAGTCTCTCTGAGCAAACCTAACGCGTTGCTGGTGCTGATGAGAAGCACAACCCCAGCAATAAAACAAACATCCCGTCCACAGACATTCAGCTGACRGGAAAACTAAGTTGACCACATGAAGTTAAACACTTAAAAGAGGAATTAATGGACCAAACGTATGAACCACAGCTGATTAAGAAGAGCCTCAAGGTCTCCAGGGAACTTTTTCAAGACCACTCCATCTTGTATTCAGAGCTTATTTTTGCAAACGTAGCTGTGCTAAAGTTAGCACAGTCTCAGCTGTGCTCATTACTGGCTTGCTGGCCCAGATGGCAATCATTCTGGAAAGGCTTTTTTCACTTACAGTGGTATCCTCGGGCTACTGCTCATCGGGGGCACTGCCAGCATATCCCCAGGCATGTGGYTAACGAAGGCGGCCGTCACATCTTGGAGCAAGTATTCATGCACCTCAGCTAACCGGGAGCCCGCAGCGCCAGCGTTGCCACGGGCTCATTTGCACAGGGCTTTTTGAGAGCAGCCCTCCTTTGTGTCATTACATGTGGATTATAGAGGGGGCAGAAAGAGCAGCCTGCAGTGCTGTGAGGCAGCTGGTGCCACAAGAACCAGCGGAGGATGCATCACAGCTGCTTCCTTCCCATTCCACGTAGCTCCTTCRCTCCAGCTCCTCCTGAGCGACACTCTTCACAGTGCAGGGGAAGGAGCTGCCCATGCCATGAACTGCTGGGTGCTGCGGCCCCTGATGTCCCCAGTCCTCCCCTTGCCTCTCCATGCACTTGGACAGACAAGGATGCGCTCATCCATTTGCCGTGCCCAGGAAGGGCTTCACTTTGGCACACACCATCACTTGGGTGCACAAGACAAAGGAGGCCACTCGGGCTGCAAGGGTAAAAATCTGCAGAGCAGCAACACTTGGCATCCAGTGCTGGATTGCTCCCCTCTGACTCTCACCCCCTTGAGGCCTGCAAATCCTGCTGCCTTTTTAGGCAGAGCACTCTCTAGCTCAAAGCCTACACGAAAGAGATGACACAGCATTTTATAGTAGCATTAGGTCAATTTTCAGGGTATTATCTATAGATTTATGCTTATGAGCATTGTACCTAGAGGCTGCTACTGCCAGCTGCAGAAGCTTGGAAACCACAAGTCAACCACACCAAAACGTATGGGATTGTTTGGATCTTTCTGGTTTTGTCTTTYTGCCTTCTTTAACCCAATTTAATCCCCATTTCTGTAGTAGAGACCTTTCCATAGTCTGCATTTGTATATTCCTCTTCACAAGCACAACTGTTGGTTTTTATGTAAAGTAAATCATCTCTAGACAAAAATGCCCTTCTCAYCAAAACTCTGCCAACAGTTTGGAGCCAGCAATGCTCTTGTCACCTCTCACACGGGATGAGGCCAATCCTGCTCAGACAACGTGCATGCGACCATGTTTATGCTGTAACAATCGGACTGGTAGGGAAACTGCAAAAATGTGCAAAGTCGGGTTTTAAAAYTCTGCTGAGGTGTGTTTTTACACAGAGCATTTAAAAAGCCCTGCTTGTGTGTGCAAGCAGCTTCCTTCTCCTATTCCTATAATACTTACACAAAAAAGAGCATTTTACACACAAAATAACCTTCATGCACAACTGTATTTTCTGTTTACTCATTTTAAGATGAGTACTTCAGCTAAAAAAAAAAAAGTCACTCACAACATCCTAGCTTCAGCTAGCCTGTGTTGTTTGATTTCTGGGATTTTTGTAGGGTCCTGAACGTGGGAACRCTCCCTTTGCGGTGGTCTGCTGAATGAAATAGCAAACAACAASTAACGCAATACGGGGGTTGAATACACGCCTTGCTAGGGTCGACTGATGGCATGAGAACTGACGTGAGAATGGTGATTTCTGAATGCTCGGGCTTGTGCGTTCTCATCGCCTGCTCTCAATTCTTGTTTTTAAGAGACAATCTGGTGTGGTGAAACGCATCATCTCAAACGCAGCTAAAGATAGAAAATGCAAATAAGTGCATTAAATAGCCACAAAGTACCCTCTCTGAAAACCGACACCAGCAACATCGTCCACTGCAGGATTTCAGAAACCATCTGAAAAGCCTATAGACTCTTTTTCTCAGGAAATTTTAAGGAAAGAAATAGATCAGCTGCTCACAGACAGGGTCCAAGGCACAGATTCTTCTGCTTCAGTGAAGAAAGGGTGGGATAGGTGATTTCTCAAGAACTTTTCTAGCCCTAACAATTTGTCAGAAATGAACAAGTGTGGTGGATTATAGGTTAAAAACACTATCAACCAAGAGTTATTCAAGCATAAAGACTCAGTGGAAAAAAGTAAAGTCTCACATGGTGAAATCCACTTTCCACTTCCCTGTTAGAATCACCTAAAACGAACTTTTAACAGACTCTAAAGTAAGAAACTCAGCACTGAGACCAGATGTGAGTGAAAAATGTTTTAAAAAGGTACATGCTTTGGAAAATAAGGCTAAAAATGGCAGCGCTTTGCAAAACACGACCATGTTGCACCTCTTGATGGGGTTGTGATTSTATGCACACGCTTGTAACAAAGATAACTTACTTTGCTGTTTCTCCTTCCAGCAGCTGGTCTGGATATATTCTATGTAATCTTTTTCAACAGTCTTTTCTAGCTCTTGAAGCTCCAAACCTTGATAAATCTTTTCAAAGTTTTTATCAACGTAGTAAGGCACCTGCAAGTTCTCAGTTTCTCTACTAATAACATGGCCTATGGACCTGTGGAAAACAACAGAGAGAAAGAAATTTTAAAGCATCTCAAATATACAAAAGGAGGGAAAAAAAAAATCAAGTGATGTTTGCCCATACTAGTACTTCCAGGAGGAGACATTTACAACTGCTCTACAGTAACTTCTTGCAGGACTACAGCTCCCTCAACCATCCAAGAACACAATTACAGGTCTGAGGCACAACAAAGGTCACTACAAACAAGACTCACTCGAAAAACATAGTGAAAATATCTAGTATTTAGAGACATTTAGAGAGACCCAATTGGAAGATGAACTGTCCCTTCCAAATTCTGTTTGCTCTCAGCAGCTCAGTCAAGACGCTTCCAAAGAATAAGAGCAAGTTTTGTGTATAAAAAAATGATAATATTTACCTACTTTATCTATCTACTGGCAACATCTGGCAAGCTATACACAGAAATCTATGGGAAATGCTGACAAATACAGGTATTAGAGGAAATACACAGGGCCAATAATTGCTTAGGATTCACTGCATCTTTTTTCTTCACTTCTGGATCTTTAGGAGCAATAGGGATTTGCAGGAGAGATTCTAATTGCACTTCCTTTTAGGGTTTTACAGTTATCGAATAAGCCAAATGGCGCATGGATTATCCCCAAATACACCCTGCAAGCTGAACTAGCCACAATGACTCACCCCCTGGATTAAGCCTATTCTCTGCCACTCAGTTTCCTTATTTGAGCAAAGATATCCAGACATTTTTCAAACTACTGCCCAGAGAGAGGGGCAGGCAGCCAAAAAGCAAAGGTTACTCTCTATCCAAGGGAGTCAAGCTTGCCCCTTCATTGTTTCATGGACTCCTTCTCTCTCACTATTCTGCAGAAGTGTCTGCTCTCTTTTTATAAGAAAATCTCCTTTTTTTTTTYCCTAGCAGCATTGGTTCTTCAGTTACATCATCCAGAGCAACAGCATAACTGCAACTATATGTGTCAGGCTTGGGTAATATAGGCCAGGCTCAGGTCTGGCCATCTCAAATGAAGAAGATGAGGGGAGGTAGCAGAGAAGCAGCTGCCTGGGGGGCAGCGTGAGACCTTCCCCTTGGGACTGGCAGCTCCCAAACACCAGCTGAAAAAGATGCTTTGTTATTAGGCTAGGCCTGCACCCAACACCTTGTGGTAAAAAGCAAAGAAGGGTGCAGGGTCCCTCTGCTTCCTGCTGTATGGGGCGTGGCAGAGCAGCTCCCTACGTGGGCCTTCAAAGGCTGCCGGCTCCCACTCCAACCTCGGCAGGAGACAGGGAGGATGGCCAGGGCGGGCAGCCTCTCCCAAGAGAAAGGGGCATCTCCCAGCACTGGGTGCTGCACAGAGGAGCAAGGGGGGAGCCCTCTGCCCCACAAACTCGGACTGCAGCAGTCCTGGCAGTGCTTCCCCTCCCRGAGCTGCCTGGTTCAGTTGGCCCTTGGCAAAGCTGGGGATTCCACCCCTTTGCAGGTGTTGAGCTGGGGCATTTGAAGGCTAATTTGTGGAGCTCTGTGATTCATCCAGTGAAATTCAAGYCCCAGTGCAGATAATTAACACTGCAAACAAGAGGCCTGATTTCTTAATTACTTTACCCGGGAACAACTAGGCAGATTCCTTTGGGACTGCAGACTGATAACTACTGTAGCTGCGCTACACCCGCATTCCTGCACCTACAGCACCCACTCCTGCACCTACAGCACCCACTCCTGCACCTACAGCACCCACTCCTGCACCTACAGCACCATGCAAAACCACAGCAGCTGGGAGAGCTCCCTGGCTCCATGCCCGTTTGCTCAGCACACAGCACAATAAAGCTCACCCCTGCAAACTGCACACTGATAACTCGCCTTAGAACGTGTCAATATAAAGGGATTGGGAGTATTTCCTTATTTACAAGCTGATAACGCTTTCTAGAAAGCGCAGAGCTGAACATTAACATGCATTTCTCTACTAAGCCCAACTTCTGTCTGCCTCYTTAACACAAGCACCAAGAGACCTGGAAGATTTAAGTTTTAARCGACTTACGATTTGTAAAATAGACTGTAGGGTGGGTTAGTTGCCATCAGCTGAGTTATAACGGACACTATTATTATTATGAAAACTGGCATCAACTGAATGAATGCGGAATACGAGTTCTGAAAAGGACAACAATAATTAGCAGGCAAGAAAAGATACCCATTGGAAAAGGAATGTATATCACAGAAGCCAGGCCATGATAGGCAGATCAGCAATGTATCAAACAAACTGAAAAGAAAAAGGAAGTACTTTTGGATTTTGAGAGGGATGACATTTGAATTTTAAAACAAGCTTTACTAAAAACATTAGAAATCTCTTTAAAGTCATTTTCTTTTATWTTCTTTCTCTATTTTCATGACTRTTCTTTAATCTGCCACTTCCTGCTCAGGGCAAGAGGTGACTACAGCACTTGYATGACTGACTGACAACCCAAACTGAAGAAACACTTTGAAATCTCTACCTGTGCCAACACCTTTCTTTAAAGTTTCTAAAGTTTACTACACATATTTTTAAATTCCTAATCCCTGTACAATCACTGGATAAAACCACTTAAATCTACAGGGTTAAGAACCAGAGGCATCATAAAGACATATGTGTTTGTCTGCACAAATTTAGTAAAGCAAACGAGTGTTGAAAAAGCTCTAAGGAATAAAGAGTCACAGAACAAAAACATATCCTAACTTTTGCTCTTTACTTTTAAACTGTTCTTCTAAAATTCCTTTTCAAATCAGGAGCAAAACAAAATATGCAGCTAACTAGGCTTTCCCCTCTGTCTTGGGTTAGCAACAAGGGCACTCAATTTGCACTAGGTTGGATCTATTTGTCATTTTTTAAGCTGCGTGAGAAACTTACGTCTTCAGTCTATCATCTCAGCTCTTTTCAGAGCYTCTCTTTAAGGAACTTGCAGGGCAGAAATCACCATCATCTTCATCAATGATCCACCATCAAAAAACTTGATCACAGAAACTCTAGGGCATGTGACCCTACCAATATAATGTATTTTGAAGGTAGTGATTAGTAAAAGACACGTAAAAGTAACGTGGTTATATCTGAAATCATCCTCCATGGTTACAGCATGGCTGACATGGATGGAAATGTTTTTACTGACTTCAGATGTATAAATGAACCCCTCATCCTTGGTGACACATTTAAGCCCACAGACCCCTTCTCCTGGCTACCTGTGGTCTGTTTTCTTCTTCTTCTTGCTCCTGTGTCCATGCTCTCTCATTTCGGTGCCTCCGTGGATAATAGTGAGCATCTCTAGCTACATTTGAGAACATATGGATATTTCCTGATTAAAAAAACAAAATAATAAAACAAGAGGGTCACGATTTTCAACCAATTGCTGGTACTTACCTGTATTTTTCAGTTTCTGTCTAATCACCCAGAGTTACATTACACAGACTGAATTACGAATGAGAGGCCAGTTTTTAAAGTACAAATGCACTTAAATAAGTGTATTTAAATTCAAGTATTTACCAAAATAATACAAAATTCCAAAGGGTGTTCCAGGAAATGGTAAGATGGCTTCAAGATGACCTGAATTTATGTCCAATGGYAGAAGCCTTTTCCAATTTTTACTACTGCAAATCACACTTGAATATTAGTTTTATCGCATCCATCTGCGAGACTACAGTTTGTGTTTCATTCCTAGAATTTAAACAGGAAAACTATTTTGCTTCACCCAACACAGTCCATGAATTATGGCTTTCCATAATCACTAAATATGCTCTGGTACACTCAGCCCTACTTCCTCTTCTTTCAAGCCTTTCATACATTCATTTAATGCTTTTAAAATGAGGGGAGAGATTAAAAAGTACTATTCATGATTCTTCTTCCTGCATGCTGAATGTAGCTAATTTTTAGAAATGCTAAAATGCGGAAAGAATTGCAAATATTGCTTTTCATTTGAAGCTTAAAGCTCTGATTATATTGTCATATAAATATCTTAATAACAGCCATGCCCTCCTCTTTTCAAACACAGGATTTCTTTGTAATAAAGAACTGAAATTTAACAGCCTTAGGCCAACAGAAATGGAAACCTATTTTAAGCCTTGGGGGAAAATGACACAGCACTTTATTTGAGGCAGTCAGATAAGGGATGCTGTAAGAACATAATTTTGCAAGTATTGTTAAATTATCATTGTTCCAAAATACCTGGGGGGAAGTGACCTTTCCTATTGCATAAGAATGTTTTGTTTCCTTGCTCGTTCAATGACTATACCAATTTCCACTGAATGTTCA